GCAGTAAGCTGAGATCGCACCACTGCACTGTAGCCTGGTGATAGAGCAAGACTCCATCTCAAAAATAAATAAATAAATAAAAGTAGTATAGTAATAATGCTGTTATAACATCAGACAAAATTAGCAATAATACCTCATTATTTGATATTAAAACTATTAAGAACTTATAAAATATCTGTGCAACTAGCTCCCTCCATAGAAACACCCAAGTTTGAGACTTTTAAAGGTCCTGATAAAACTAGAACATTCTTTAAGAAATTGCAAAAGATATTGCCCAAATTTCACCAAGAATAATGCTTAATTAACTAATTCATTTATTCATTTAAGAACACAGTCCCAAACTTCGACTTAACAGTTGGGTGAAGTATGATTTAGTAAATAGGGTTGAATGGAAGAATAGTAATCTGTATGAATTCTTAACAGGAGAGAGTCAAAGACTAAGAACATGTCCCTGGAATGTGTCACCTGCACAGCTGTTAGAAGGCGCACTTATTCTAATAATGAGTACCCAGTAGTTAGACAGAAATTATGTTAATGTTTTGAAATGTCAAAGAAAAAAGAAAAGAAATACGCTTTAAGAGTATCTACCCTTTTGCAAACGAGATCATGTCTTTGCAGGGACATGGATGGAGCTGGAAGCCATTATCCTCAGCAAACTAATGCAAGAACAGAAAACCAAACACTGCATGTTCTCACTTATGGGTGGGAGCTGAACAATGAGAATATATGGGCACAGGGAGGAGAACGACACACACTGGGGCTGGGGCAGGGGTGGGGCAGGGAGAAGGAAGAGCATTGGGAAAAACAGCTAATGCACGCTGGGCTTAATACCTAGATGATGGGTTGATAGGTACAGCAAACCACCACGGTACATGTTTATCTATGTAACAAACCTGCACATCCTGCACATGGACCTGGAACTTAAAATAAAAATAAAAATTAATTGTAAAAAAAGAATATCTACCCTACTGCTCAAATTCTATACTTACAAAGAAAACTATGTTCCATAATACGTTTTCTGAGTAGATCTATAAACAAAGAGGAAATGACCCTAAATTGAAAAAAGACCAATAATATAAATTATGCTCATTACCCTTTAATTTTACTTGAATTATTTAACTTTATGAATGAATATTGATTTATTCTCCAAGTTATTTACAATCAGCCGCTTTAAACCCAGTCACCTGTAAGTAAACTGACAAAATGAATATTTGGAATCTACCAAGTGACAACCAGAACCCAGTCAAACGCCTTCCGGAGTGCAGAGAGAAGCCCCACCTGGAGCTACTTCGGTGCTTTCCCACATGGCCTTCTATGGGATGATTTGTCTCCTGCTTCTGGGGGCCATCAGTAGTAGCAAGCAGTAAGCTGTTCACTCAATGACATTGGCCTCTCACAGTTGTCACTCAGTCATCTTTTGTAAATTAGGACCCAGACACAAATCAGAGTGTTAAGAGCTATGCAATGCGTATAACCCTCACCTGGTGTCAAAGCAAGAGTAAATGGGCCAGGGGTGTTATCAGAGGAGAACGTTTCAAAAAGTCATGCATTAAAGTTCTATGTAGTCAAAGTAGTCAATTAAGTTATTCCTTTAAAAAGAGATGTTCTTTAATCTTTTTAAAAATATGTAATTATATTATTGTAGTTCTATTTCATTTTTGATAAATCACATGCTTTGATTTCTGTAACAGTCAAGGTAATGAGAGAATAAGAATGAATGATTAATCAAAATTCTTATGCCATTTTTTTAAAGCCTCTTTCCCATAGTACGATTGTATGTTAAGGCTTTCGGTATGTTAGAGTCTGGGCTTTCTCTCTTCTCTTGGCTGGAACCACTTTACATCCCAGGAGCTGATGAGTAGGGCCATGACCCATTAATGGGCAGCCCAATGGGGATGAAGGCATGACTGAAGACCTATCTGAGAGATCATTTCCCAAACAGTCATGACCTGACTCATAGGGGAGAATAGGATCAGCACTGCTCACACTGTGTTAGGGCAAGTCAGTGTACTCATTAGCAAAGTCTGTACGTGACCTCACTCACCTCTAAAATTCCAGAGTTACACAATTTCCTGTGAAAAAGAAAGCAGCATGATTGTCCGTCCAATTGGTCATAGTCAGAATGACCTGCTATTTTATACTTAGAGTCTCCTGCTGTCACAAACTGAAGGACAGTTCTTGATGGTTTCCTGAAAATTCCGTTGGCATGGAGTAGAGATTAGGAGCCAGTTCTCATGGGTCAACAAAAAATAAGACTAGAAGATACATACAGGAATAGTTTCAGTAAAGAGAGATTGCATCTTGCTATACAGAAATAAACAGAAGGGATATTCTGTAAAGGAGGCTGCTTCCTTGATGTTAGCCATCCTCAGTCCCAGAATCGTGATTGCTAAATGCGGATAAGATTCACCCAGTCCAGAAATCCTTAAGACAACAATAACAAAAAAAAGTGGAAAATGATTAAAACTTCTGCTAAGTAACTGTACTCAGGTTACTTAGCTGTTAAACAACTAGACATATGCTAATTGTTCATAACAAAGATATACCCTGGGATTCTGAGGTAAAAACCTTTTGACAAACACAACTAGGAAGACAGGCTGTTTGGTAGTCTAGTTTTCTCTCTTTCCTGCAATGCTCTAAGTTTCCTAGGCTTCTTCTGGTGCTCCTCTGCTCCTTCTTGTCTTACCCCAGTCTGTGCTGTTGTGGTGCATTTCTTGAGTACAGAAAACTCTCAATTGCATCATTACCCAAAGTTCATTTTTAAGTACTATCTCTGGAATCACTGTAATGAGGTTTGCAGTGCAAAATGACTCTGCCAATGGCGGAGTTTATTAGCTCCCAGTGGCTTTTCCTCTTGCTTAAATAGTCCTAAGGCTCAGAGAATTCTCCCCACTTCCTGCCACATGCCTCATGCCTTTTGATGAGAAGAGTAACTACCACAAAACAGAACAGAAATATGGACTGCATGACCTTTCTTGCATTACACCATAAAATGTTCATAAGGGCACTGGTCACAGTGTTACTGTTTAACCATTTCATTTCACCACCAATATGAGGGGTGTGCTATGCATACATTCTGGAACCCTCAGCAACTATTTGAACAGGTTTGTTTGTTGGGTGGTTGGTTGGTACAATTTGCTGAAACAAGTGACTTTGGGCAAGGTTATTGTGCTCTGATCACTATCCTTCCATCCACAAGACTAAGACTGAGTTTGAGCACTGAGTGAAAAATGAAAAGCAAATGGCTGGGACAGTTGCAGGTTCACATAGTGGCTTCATGCCAATTAGAAAAAAACCGTCCCCCTTCCCTATGCCCTGGGGAGAATAAATGGCTGAAAGATGCTCCCCCATCTGTGTGGACCATTAGGGGAAAAGCAGTTTCTTGCAAGGCACAGGGTTTGGCCAGTGGCATCTGGACAAGATTTTAGTCTCTTGCCGGTCCTCTCGTCGACATGAGGGCACAATTGTTCAAGGCAGTCCTAGAAGAAGGCCTTGGAGCATCCCGGGCACTGTGATTCAGTTTTCTGTATCAGGTCATTTAGTTAAGATTATTCCCAGCTGGTAAGAGAAGTGCCTCCATTGTCTGTCTTAACACGGATCATTTAAATTAACCTGAGATTTTTGGATGAGGAAACTGAGGCCAAGCTGAAGCATCTTACTTGAGGTCATGTGGTAGCATCAGAATTTGATCTTCACCCTGCTGTTTTTCCTGGTACTCATTATTCTCCTTCTCTAATTTGTTTTTCTCCGTGGCACTTACCACTAATATTGTGTATTTCATTTTCCGTTTTTATACTGTCAGTTTCTCCCAAGTGGAATGTAAGTTCCATGATGGTAGGTGTTTTATTTTTTGCTGTATTCCCAGTGCCTAGAACAGAACCTGGCACACAACGAGGCTCGTTTGATATTTTCTAAATTAATGAATTGTTCAAATATCAGGATGCTTTATTCTATACCAGCCTATTTTAACAAGTGGCTTTTTAGCAAATACACAATATTTGGAGATATTTGAGAGAAAAAAATTGTGCTAACACAAAGTGTCAACTGTTACTAGGATTTTCTTCAGCTAAAAAAAAGCCACTTCATACCGTTAGACGTATACTTCCTAACTAAAAACAGGGTTTTAATAAAAAGCCTCCCACCTTAAATTCATGTCCACTTCAAAGAGAGAGATCTCAGTCTAATAATAAACTGGTGTACTTTCTATTTACTAAGACCAATCTTTGCCTCAGAAGACAGGTTTAGTTATGACTGGTTCTTTAATGACTAAAACAAAATTAGCAGCCCCTGCTAGGCTCTGCTAGTTATTTGCATATAGCAATACAAAATGATCTGGTAAAGTTTTTATGCAGATGTGGTCCAAGATCATAAATTAGATAAATTCTTCCAAATAAAATTCTTATTTTTGTTTACTTAAATTTTGCATGCTAGATATCATGTTTCATATCGTAAAGCTGTAATTAATCATTTGTTAGACTTTTAGAAATAGTCATGTACCACATAATAATGTTTCAGTCAATGAAAAACTGCATATGTGATGGTGGTGCCATAAGATTATAATCGCCATATTTTTACTGTACCTTTTCTATGTTTATATATGTATAGATACACAAATATCATTGTGTTACAATTGTCTACAGTATTCAGCATAGTTATATACTATACAGGTTGGTAGCCTAAGAGCAATAGTTTATACCATACAGCCTAGATGTATAGTAGGCTGTATCATCTGGGTTTGTGTAAGTACACTCAATGATAGTCACACAATGATGAAATAGCCTAACAATGCATTTCTCAGAATGTATCCCTGCATTAAGGATGACTGTACTAGAAAGCTACATGTTTTGATTCATTTTATATAATCCTTATCCTGATTTATTGAAAGTGCACTGTTTGCAGGACACTGTGCTGTGACATATTGTCAGAGGAACAAAGGGAGCATTTAGACATGTTCTCTGCCCTCCTGGAATTTACACGATGAATGGAAAAAGGCGCAGAGTTATGCACACACTAAGGCCTCCAACAATAACTGTTGACTTTATTTTCAGACAGAGAAGCCTGGCAACCAGGAACTGGTTTTTTGGTGATTTACAAGAACTTAACTGAATTGGAAAATATTTGCTTTAATGAAACAATTTACTCTTGTGCAACGCTAAATTGTGTCAATCAAGCAAATAAGGAAGAAAGTCTTATTTATAAAATTGCCTGCTCCTGATTTTACTTCATTGCTTCTCAGGCTCCAAGAAGGGGGAAGAAAAATGAAGATTTTGATACTTGGTATTTTTCTGTTTTTATATAGTACCCCAGCCTGGGCGAAAGAAAAGCATTATTACATTGGAATTATTGAAACGGCTTGGAATTATGCCTCTGACCATGGGGAAAAGAAACTTATTTCTGTTGACACGTAAGTCACTATTTTTATTGTTTACAGACCAAAATTTAAAATCATTTTTAAAAAATAGATCCAATAAGCTGAAATATTTTAAAAAATTTTTATATGCAGAAACTGCAAAATGTAGGCTTGAAACCCAGGACACTTAAATCAATCTCCTTATATTCCTGTATATTTTTTATTTGGGGGACTGCCCTGCTTCTTTCCCGTTGCTCCTGGGGTTCTGTGTTCATCTCTTGTTACCTCCCATGGTCGTTGCTGCGTCTCTGATTTGGATTCAGTCTTTTTGTCTGTTTATGCAGAAGTTCTTTAATTTAAACAATGACTGTATAAAATGTTATATTTATTACACCATTTAATGGTTATTCACGATAAAGATAAAATTTTTTAAAATCTTTCAAAAACATCACTTATAGAAATAAAATACAATTTTAGCAAATATTATTCTGCCTGATATTTATTTAGAGACTTTGGACAGTTAAGTAGGTTAATCTTTCACAGTTTCAGAGTTCTAATTTGTAAAATGAGGATAATAAGCATAGCTCATATGGTTGTTTAAAGAGTGGGTGCATGTAAAGCTCTTAGGACAATGCTTGGCACACAAGTGCACAAAAATGTCAGACACTTATTATGATGGTCCTCAAAAAGCTCCATGTAACTTAAATGTCTTCATATTTTAGTTGTAAAATCCCCTATTGAAAGCAATATTCATTGCACAGAAAAACAAAAAAAATTACTTCTCCATGAAGTATTTTGTTATGGAAATTTATCTATACTGAAGTCTTCACCAAATGTTAATTAAACATTAACCACCAAATGGGAATTCAAAATCAATATTCACTACATTAAAGTGTATTTCAGCAGAAATAAAACACAAACAAGCCCAATGACCGTCAGCTGCTAAAATTGTATTTCTTAAAAAGTAGCTAAATAAGGATGCCAAAGTTTATAATTTTTGGATCTTTTTGATGAGTATATACTATTGTCTTTAATGTTATGTAAAGTTGAAATTTTTCACCATAAAAATAAATGCATAACTGATAATAATATCCAATTATTATATTATTAATTTAATAATATACAGTAAGGAAAGTTTCTGACCTGAAGATAACCGATTGTAAGTAAAACTAGTATATCTTGCAATTATTTCTTTTTTAACCTGGTTTTAAGATGGTATTATCTTCTTAGGAATATGACATATTTTTACAGCTTCATCAGAAACATTATTTTGTATGGATTCAGTATTTTCTTGATTAAATATAATATAAATTATACCTGGTTTTTATTTCCAAGGAAAAAGACACATTAAAAAAATAAAAATACTATCTTTCTCCATGCCCCCACCCACCGCTATCCACTATTCTGCCATTGTTCATGGTCAAAAATCAAATCAGCTTTATCAGGCATAAACTAAATGCAAGACGTTGCCGTGAGTATGCCTCAATTAAAAAAAAAAAAAAAAGAGGTTGTTTAGAATTTGATGAATGGGGACAGAGGAAGTTTCCTTCATTTTTAATTATTCCCATGGCCTGTCTGTGCCAGGGAAGCTATACAATGAGTATAAGCTTGTTTACCCCATTGTGACTGTATTAGACTCCTTTTATGCTTCTAACAGAGACATAACATAGACTAGGTAATTTACAAAGAAAAAGAGGTTTAATGAATTCACAGTTCCACATGCCTGGGGAGGCCTCACAATCATGGTGGAAAGCAAAGGAGGAGCAAAGGCACGTCTTACATTCCAGCAGGCAACAGAGAGCTTGCGCAGGGAAACTCCCCTTTAAAAAGCCATCAGGCCTCATGAGACTTACTCACTACCAAAAGAACATGATGAAGGAAACTGGCTCCATGATTCAATTATTTCCACCTAGCCCCACACTTGACATGTGGGGATTATTATAATTCAAGGTGAGATTTGGGTGGGGACAGAGCAAAACCGTATCATTCCATCCCTGGACCCTCTCAAATCTCATGTTCTCACATTTGAAAACCAATCATGCCTTCCCAACAGTTCCCTAAAGTCTTAACTCATTTCAGCATTAACTCAAAAGTCCATAGTCCAAAGTCTCATCTGAGACAAGGCAAGTCCCTTCCACCTATGAGCCTATAAAATCAAAAGCAAGTTAGTTACTTCCTAGATACAATGGGGTATAGGCATTGGGTAAATACAGCTGTTCCAAATTGGAGAAATTGGTCAAAACAAAGGGGCTATAGCCATGCAAGTTCTAAATCCAACGGGGCAGTCAAATGTTAAAGTTCCAAAATGATCTCCTTTGACTTCATGTCTCATGTCCAGGTCACACTGATGCAAGAGGTGGGCTCCCACAGCCTTGGGTAGCCCTGCCCTGTGGCTTTGCAGAGCACAGTCCCGCTCCCAGCTGCTTTCATGGGGTAGTCTTAGTGTCTGTGGCTTTTCTAGGTGCACGGTGCAAGCTATCAGTGGATCTACCATTCTGAAGTCTGGAGGATGGTGGCCCTCTTCTCATAGCTCCATTAGGCAGTATTCTAGTGGGGATTCTATGTGGAGACTCCAATCTCACATTTCCATTCTGCACTGCCCTAGCAGAGGTTCTCCATGAGGGCCCTGCCCCTGCAGCAAACTTCTGCCTGGACATCCAGGTATTTCCATACATCCTCTGAAATCTAGGTGGATGTTCCCAAACTTTAATTCTTGACTTCTGTGCACCCGCAGGCTCAACACCACATGGAAGCTGCCAAGGCTTGGGGCTTGCACCCTCTGAAGCCATGGCCCATGCTGCACCTTGGCCCCTTTTAGCCATGGCTGGAGCAGCTGGGACACAGGGCACCAAGTCCCTAGGCTGCACAGAGCAGGGGGAGACTGGGTCCAGCCCAGAAGGCCATTTTTCCCTCTTAGGCCTCCAGGCCTGTGACAGGAGGGGTTACCTTGAAAGTCTCTGACATGACCAGGAGACATTTTTCCTATTGTCTTGGTGATTAACATTCTGCTCCTTGTTACTTATGCAAATTTCTTCAGACAGCTTGAATTTCTCCCCAGAAAATGTTTCTTTATTTTTCCTATTACATCATCAGGCTGCAAATTTTCCAAACTTTAATGAATGCTTTGCCACTTAGAAATTTCTTCTGCCAGATAGCCCAAATCATCTCTCTCAAGTTCAATGTTTCACATATCTCTAGGGCAGGGGCAAAAAGCTGCCAGTCTCTTTGCTATAGCACAGCAAGAGTCACCTTTGCTCCAGTTCCCAACAAATTTCTCATCTCCCTCTGAGAACACATCAGCCTGGACTTTATTGTCCATATCACTATCAGCATTTTGGTCAAAGCCATTCAACACGTCTCTAGGAAGTTCCAAAATTTCCCACATCTTCCTGTCTTCTGTGCCCTCCAAGTCTCTAGGAAGTTCCAAACTTTCCCACATTTTCCTATCTTCTTCTGAGCCCTCCAAACTATTCCAACCTCTGCCTGCTATCCAATTCCAAAGTTACTTTCGTATTTTCAGGTACCTTTACAGTAGTTCCCCACTCCAGGTACCAATTTACCATATTAGTCTGTTCTTATGCTGCTAATAAAAACACACTCAAGACTGGGTAATTTTTAAATACAAAGAAGTTTAATGGACTCACAGTTCCACATGGCTGGGAAGGCCTCACAATCATGGCAGAAGGCAAAGGAGGGGCAAAGGCACATCTTATATGGCAGCAGGCAAGAGAGAGCTTGTGCAGGGGAACTCTCATTTATAAAACCATCAGATCTCATGAGACGTATTCATTACCATGAGAACAGTATGGGGGAAACCACTCCCATGATTCAATTATCTCCACCTGGCCCTACCCTTGACATGTAGGGGTTACTACAATTCAAGGTGAGATTTGGGTGGGAACACAGCCAAACCATATCAGCTACTTAAAAGGTATACTTAATAGTGACACTTAAGGATTCTTAAAAGAAAAAATGGAGCATCTTCTAGTTGCAAAGTCCATCTGTTCATCCCAGACCTTCAAGGTCAACAAACTCAATTCACTGCACTGAGATGATAGGAACTAGTGCTTGGTAACTAGTACCTAGAATATAAGAGACAGTAAATAAATATTTGTGAATAAGTTTAAATTAAACAAAAGATATGTAGGAAGATAGAAGAAATCATAGACTGTATTGTAAAAACTTTTTCTTGCTCCCCATGTGGAGAGATTAATGCTGTAGAACAAATCAGGCAACAGGTTTTGGGGGGGTACTAGGAAAATAGAGTTTATTTCTCTGGTATTAATGCCAATAATCTTTATTTCTAAAAGGGTGAAGTGGAAAATAATTTTCTTATACTCAGTACTGCCATTTACTTGGGTTAGTGCCTTATAAATAAAGACTTTATAAGATATAATTCCTTACCCTAAGTTATATATATTTAAATAAAAATAAATGGCATACATATAAAAACAATAGCATGTTCTGGGCCCATAGTAGGCATTAATTAATTATTTATTGAATTAATTGACTATATAATAGCAAAAATTATATACTTCTGTTATCTTCAGATTGCTTTTTTTCTGATGACCTCTAGAAAGCTGGAAATAAGTGAAAAATTTTTAAAGCATAAGAACAGTCATCACAAAACTCTTACATTGTTACTGGGATTTCATTCCATTATAGGTTTCCAAAACAAATGGTATAGTAGAGAAGTCACTATAAACAGACCCAATGACCAAGAAGAAATAACAGCTCAAATCCTGACCAAAATCTAGCCAACAAAGAACATTCCACCCTGTGGTAATCATAGTTATTATAATTATGATCTTGAGTGATCAGGATATAATAAATATTCAATAAGTGTTCATTTCACTATTATTATCAAAAAATTGCCTTTTTTTCCAGTATATCATTTGTTTAGAAAAACAGGGAAGCAAATAAAATATTTTTAAAGAAAAAGCTTGCACTAAAGGCATTCCTTTTACCCCTATTAAAAGATAAACTTGGGCATATTGACATTTTAATGTTTATTCAAACCTTCAGCCACATCAGTTGGGTGCCCTAGGACAACA